AAGAGGGCTCTAAGGGGTTCGTGATCCTACCTTCTTCACCTAGGACTATTGACAGCCATCTGAACAATGCTAAGGTCCAATAAAGAGAAGTCCTTTAAACAGAAGTCCTTTTAAAAAGCCCTCAAAAGAACTGAGCATAGTCAACTATAACTTTTGGGATGGAGACAATTGTGCCTGATTGAGTCCACTTCACTTTTCTTGAGATTCTGGATATTTTGCACCTGAAAGCCATCCTGAACTGTTTCAATATCTTTTTGCCCCATCTTTTAATTGCAAATGTAATTCTTCCTCCTTTCATTTACTTCTCTTCTTTTCAGCAAGCAATGTAGGAAATGAGACTGGCTTTTTTTTTTGCTCATTTATTTGTTTTTAGTGATCATTAGGACTTCTTACCATGTGGTATATGTTAGAAAATGTTGCCTTCCAAACTGCATACCTGTGAAGTTTTCCAGCATTTCCTACAGTTAGTGTGTCTTGGAGGGGAGGCTGGAGGGAGGGTGGCAGCAAGTGGCAAACAGGTTGGGTGGAGGGGGGTAACATGGGGTGTCACGGTCAATGAAACTGGAAAGGTCCCAGGACTAGGAGTTATGCAGAAAACAAAAACAAAGAAGGAGGGGAAAATGTATTTCACCAAAAAGTAAAACTTCTAGGTACTTCCCCTGATTATATATATATATATAAAGATACGGAGATTCATTTTTGTTTGGCTGGTTTCAGCTATTTAAAAGCCAGTTTCTCCCTGGTGACAGCTCAGTGTCAAATTGGGGAAGATGCTTTTCCCCACCCTTCCCCACTCCTCCCCCTCCTTCCTGTGATAATATTGGCAAGGGCCACACAACAGCTGCAGAAGAGAAGACATTTCAGCTGGGAGTATCACTCCTCTCTTTCATATTTTGTATGTAAAGACTCGATGCAGTGACAATTCTATGCTCCCCACGGGGTTAGCTGTATTCCTTGGTGTTCTCTGCTCTTCTCCAGCTTGGAATTTCTTCTGACCTCAGGTATAAATGTGCTAACCTCTTTTAGGTGGAGAACAAGATGATTGGGCAGGTCCTGAAACGGGCCTTTCTACATCTGATATGGATCTGCTTTGCCCAGAGTCCTGGAGCATGCCCCTCACCCAAAGTTCAATGCTGCTCCGCTCCTGAGATGAAACCACCACACAAGCAGTGGAGTGCTGTCCTTCAAGGTTTGGCCTGGGCTGCAGGGGAAGAGACTTAGGCATCTTTCAGATACTAAAGTCTGTCATTTCCCTTTGTTTAGATGAACACTAACAGATCAGAGCAATAATGCCCAATACTCTAAGCTTAAAATATGTGCATGTTTCTAGGACCCTCCCTCCCCCTCCCCCCAAAAAAAGAAAACCCAGAAAAAGAAAACACACTTAGACTTGCAGATGACTGTATCAGGCACTTGACATTAAACTACAGAAGAACAAGCTTGGCATTAGCCTTACCACGAGCACTTTCATTGACATTACTTTGGTGGAAGTGTTAAACTTTGCTTTGGGAAAAGGGAATGAGAGCTTCTTAGATTCATTGCTGAATTCCACTTGGCCTCATCTGCATTATTTGTCTTTTTTGTCTCCTCCTTGACAAAATGGGAATGGGCTACTGGCTGGTCAAGAACTTGCATTAATATCAGTGTCTGCATACCCTTGCTCTTCCATTTGCAACCTTTGGCCCAATCTGGCCAAAAGGCTTAAGGATTCTTCCTGCAGAACTTAAAAGCCATACAGAACGAGTAAAATGCTCTATTATGACAAAATGGCAAGGGGAGCACTTATCCTCTATCTATGTCTTACCATATTTTTGAGACATCGATTGTCTAGCGGTGCCATCACCACCAAAGTTAAATTAACAAAGCAGAAAACTATGAAAGTGTCTTCTAGGAGAAGCTTCATTGTCCTTCCCAGTGGTCCATTTTCACAAGCCTCCCTCACCTATTCTCCCACGGATGGTGGTGATAAGAAAGAACAGCTTTTACTCTGTTTCCTTATTTCCCCTTCTCCCCCACCCCCACATACCTCGAGCGCCTGGGATGGGAGGAAGAAGGTAGGTGCTTACTGTGGTTTTGTCTTTTGGCTAGTACTATCACTAGGAAATGGCCATTAGATGACAGATTTATTTTAAGCCACAGAAACTCATAAGACCACCCACCAAGGTATGGACGGAATGTAATTCACATTATTGGAAGGAGAATTCACAAAGATGATGTTATGGATCCTTAATTTAAGTGTAGCAAGAGGGCAGGCCATCAAGTGGTAAAAGGGAGAAGGCATGGAGAATATCATTCCCGATCACATTTCTGGGGATGCTTTAAGCACTCCCTCACTAAGAGGAGTAGGGAATCCTTCTTTTAGAAGGAAAAGTGAAAGTCCAATAGAAAATACACAGCTTGGATATTCAAGAATCATGCCATCAAGGACTACTTCTCTCTTCCTGTCCTACTCCCAACATATATGCTTAGCTCCTAAGCAATGTCTCTAGTTTATCTATATGGCACTCAGATATTCTGCATAAGACATGTCTTATTGTGACCTTACTTATTCAGGTATATGTATTGAGCAATTTGAAATGCTTATGTCTGACCTTCAATTCCAACCTCATACCTGCTCACTAGATTGTCCCTGGGAACTTGGAATAGATAGAAAACTGCTGACAAATCTCACATGTTCCTGGAATCTGTCTCCTGGCAGTTGTCTTTTTCTTGTTGTTTGAGAGGACGACAATTCCATTCACAACAATTGACCTGCACTAGAGTGCCTGGCATTTTGTGCGCTGAAAATGCTGAAAACACCTAAGGAGGTGGAAGGTGCATGGATAGATTTTCTCACTTTGTATGTCATGTTCAGGAGCTGACACAGACAAAACCAAAGAGGCAGCTAGTGATGGTAGGGGAAGAAGAATAAATATTAAGCATTAAGAGCATTCGACAGAATATGCCTTAAGAGCAGCCCCCCCTTTTTTCAGTTAGGCTGCTAGCATTATACAGCACACTAGGTCAGGGAATGAGTGGGAGAATGCCAATGCTAGAAATTTGCATGTCCCTCTTGGCAGTACCCTAAGTATGTAAAGAGAGATCTAATTCAGGATCATTTTTATTGCAATCCTTTTTGGTCCACTGGAACACAGGATGGCCAAATCCTGATTGCCCCAGGAGATGCCCCAAGAAAGTACAGACATGAAAGTTCATCTCTTGTGTGGAATCTTGGTCAGCCACAATACAGAGAAAAGGGAGATGATGCTAAACTTCCTCAAAGCCACTGGAGGGAGAAGCCCCACCAAAAGAGGAAATGTGTGTGACACATATTTTCCCCCTCTGTTTGCAGTGTTGGGTTAATCAAGTGCTTGAAAATTAAGTCAGCCGCTCAAGTGCCCTCTGCTCAGAAGAGCTTCTGAAACAGATATGAGCGCTGTCAACACACCAGCTCTGTAATTGGACTCTATCAGTTTTTAACTGGATAGTTTTCAAACAGGCCAAACCCAGACTGGAGCAGATTGGAGACACTAACTGAGGTGCTAAAGCTCAGACTGGTTGAATGATGTGTTCACATTTTAAAAGGCCAGCGTCTTATATGTGTTTTTTTTTCATTTTTATTTATTTTGATAGGGAATATAAATGCCCTGGATTTGGTCAAATAAGATCGAAACATGTGCTTCCTTGAAAGGTAGAAAAGCACATGTATTTCTGATGACTGGCATCTTGGTCATTCAAATCTCAAAGGAAAATATCATGCTAGTTAGTTAAGGTACTCATGGAACTCATCTGTGTCTAGAGAAGAAAATGCTTTAGTGTGTAGTAAGTGATGGATTCCTACTAGAACTCATGGGCTATCATAGCCTACTTTTGGTGAATAGGATGCCACATTCTCAAATGTCCATGGGATTGGATATTGCTTATCTTTCTGGTCAATCTGAGAAAATTGGCTTTCACATGCAAAGGTGATATGTAACTGAGAAAACAAATTTTCTTTTTAGGGTAGGTTGATTTGAGAAAGAAATGAGGAGAAAGATAGACATTAGGTGATTAGGGATGATTATAGTGATAGATGAGTAAGAGTAGAGAAGGAGAGACTTGGAGAGAAATGCAGATAATTACATTGATAGATTGATAAATAGAGTAAATAGATTGTTAGAGAGAAAGACAGGTGGGTAGATAATTGGATGGATGGATAGACCAGACAAGTTGAATAGATAGATAGTCATAGGATTGTTCTGATTGATAGCTAGATAAGACCCAATGAATTAGTCACCTATTTATTCTTTTTTTTTTAAATTGACCAGCCAAGAATTTTTAAAGAAGAAACTAAGTCTCCAATCTTTTTTCTTCCCATCCACTCAGTTCCAGTTTCCCACACTCCAGAGATTTTCTCTCTCTTTTATCAGATGTGCTTCCACTTTAAGCAGGTTTCACAACCCCCTTGGCCCCACATCTCTATTTGCTGCAGGTATTTGAGGTGATGGGTAGAGTACAGTGCCAAGAGGAGGTGGTTGAATAATATACATGTGTACATATATTAAAAATCCACCCTGACGGGAGAGACAAACCCAATGTCATACATTAGACACATAACATGGGGTAATTTGTACAGCATAACAAAAAGGGTGATTTGTTAGCTCAAGAGACACAGACACGAGGGCTCTCTGATGTAATTCTTGTCGTGCACTACTTCATGAACCGAGGTGTATCTCTGGGGCATTTACGGGTTCAACTGAAACAGACTTTTTGCCAAAACAGAAGTTATGGGGAAGACAATGGGGAGAGGGGCAGAAGAGGAGGTAGGGCTAAGGGAGAAGAAACAGATTCAATTTTTGAACACACCCATGATTGATTATCCTACACATTGCAGAACCCTCCCCACCCCCTCCCCCCATCCCCACTCATTCAAGCTGAAAAACAAAAACAAAACAAAACTGGTTTGCCCTCCGCAGTGTAGAAGAGTAAAGTCTGTGGTATGGAGAAGCCAGGCGTCGCTCAGAGGACCCTAGGGTTTCTCATCAAAACTTGATGAAGAAGTGGACAAAGAGGGTCCCCGATAGCCAGAGGCATGCCAGTGCTCTGGAGGCAGAGCTTACCCCATCAATGACTGCTCCAGGCCCTGTGGGAGGGGAGAAAGAGAAATGTTTATAATCCAGGAGGAGATGAAGATGACCACCTCTGTCTTTCAATTTAAAGTTAAATACCTTTGCATGCTTCTCCCAGATAGATTTTCCTTCACCAGGAACTGCTTTCCCAATAAGCTTTGACCCACGTGATTGTATACCCCACCTTCTCCACAAACTGAAACTATTGAGAAATTCACTATCTCATCCAGATGATTTGACCACTGGTCAAATCACCTGGAAGATGTGTTTCAGAACAGGCCTATGGGATTACTTTGAGTTGGTGTACTGGGTCAAGATAAGGGCAAAGAAGGCATGAAGTATGACTGTGGGTGTAATTTCTTAGCATCCCACATGATCTCCAATTGTGTGTTTGGCACCCAAACAAAAGTGAGTATGTATTAGGGAAGTGTGATAGGTGAGTAGTTAAGTCCCAGTGTGTTGTAAGAGTCTGGGGCAGTAGTGTGAAATGAAAAGTGATAAGGTAACTGAAATGTTTGGGTGGCAATGACATATTACCGTGGAAAAACTAATGCTCTGCCACATCACTCACTGGCAGGGGTTCCTCAATCCTGGCTTACAAATTGCAGAAAATTATGCTATGAAAGGGCAGCTAGGTGGCACAGTGGATAGAGTACTAGGCCTGGAGTCAGGAAGTTCTGAGTTCAAATTTGGCCTCAGACACTTACTAACTGTGTGACCCTGGAAAGTCACTTAAACCTGTTTACCTCAGTTTCCTCATCTGTCAAATGAACTGGAGAAGGAAATGGCAAACAACTTCAGTATCTTTGCCAAGAAAACCCCAAGTGGGGTAACAAAGAGTCAGATACAACTGAAACAACTGAACAAAACCAAATTCTATAGCAGAAAATGATGAATCAATTATCTCATTCAAGATTTCTAAAGGAAGTGACCAGATTTATTCTGGTCATCAGTGGTATGTTTGAAGGAGGACCAAGGAAGTCATAACCCAAACTACCACAAGACTCTTTTCCCTGGGAATATAGTTGCATGGATCAGAAATCTTTCAACACCATTACTCAGAACAGGAAAAAATAAGATTGAAATTCCAGGAGGAAGTTAATTTGATCTTTTTTAGTTTTGTGCAAGGGTAGCCTTCCTCTTTCCCAACTATGTTCTCATTTCTTCATGGGATATTGTCCTATCCCACTACCATCCTGGAAATATCTAAGGCAATTCTGGCCTATTCTGGTCACGTGCACTACCCTGGGACAAGTTCATTTACCCATGTACCCGCTACGACAACATGGTTTAATTTGCTGACAAATGGAGTGGATATTGGCATTATGCACAATGAACTCATGTCCACTGTGATGACAGACCAATTTTCTTTCCTCAAATTCAAGAGTTTCAATATGGGCATTCTTTTCTTCAGCTGGGGTGTAATATTTATAATTCTTTCACTTAGCAGAAGGTCATGCTTCCCTGACAATTTAGGAATTTGTTCCTTGGTTGTCTGTGGTGCCATAGGACATTCATATAGAATGTCAGATTGAGGGCCCAAGTACAGTGCCATACCACCTGTCAGTGGCTCAGTATATTGGTTCTTCTATTCTAATCCCAACCAATAGGAATTTATTAAGTACTTACTACGTACTATGCTAAGCACTATGCTATTAAATGAATGGATGATATTAAATAGAATTATGTATCACTACATGCATAATATAGATAGTGCCTCGATCAGTATATTTAGCAGAGCAGTTTGGTCACTGTGGAATGTGCTTGGACCTAGAGGCAACTAGGTGGTACAGTGGATAGAGCAGTAGGCCTGCAGTCAAGATGACCTGAGTTCAAATCCAGCCTTAGACACTTACTAGCTGGGTGACCCTGGTCAAATCACTTAATTTCTGTCTGCTTCCGTTTCCTCTTCTACAAAAGGAATATTACAATAATAACACCTACCTCCCATGATTGCTGTGAGAATCAAATGAGATAATATTTGTAAAATGCTTAGCACAGTGCCTGGCACATAGTAGGTGCTTAATAAATGTTTGTTTCTTTCCAACCTACACTCCTAGGGATGTGTTCTGTAAAAAATAATATTATTATGTTATATTGAATTAATAATAATATTAACTAATAATAGCTAGCATTTATAAATTACCTCAAGGTTTGCAAATATTATTTCTGGGGGTCAAACCTATAAGAATGATTTCAAGTTTGGGAAGAAATTCAAAAAGAATACTACATACTGATCCATCAGGTCTTAGCTTAAATGCCTCTTTCTCCAGGGAGCCATCCTTGATCATTCTAGTAGAAAGTGAACTCTCCTTCCCATGAACCTTGTTTTCCCTGACTTATAAAATTTAATTATATTCTACTTTCCATTATTGTGTGTGTATATCTACACACACAACATATATAGATGTATAAATGTACATATATATTTACATATTTGTGCATGTACATATATACATATGAATTCATTAACTTTTCACTAAAACGTTCCTTTAATTATTTAGAAACATTATTATGAGAATGGGTCCATAGGATTTATCAGACTGCCAAAGGGGACAACAATACAAAAAAAAATTTTTAAGAACCTCTGTATTATAGAAAATTTTATGCATGTTTTATTTCTTCTATGAGATGATAAACTCCTTGCAGACAGAGAATGGTTTACTTATTTTCTTATTTCTCTACATGACTAAAATAGTGACTTAAAGCTAGTAGGTAATAAATATCTATTTGCTCAATGAATAAATGAATGATGTGGCTAACTGCAACCCCTAATTGTTGTGAGTGCCATAAAATGTCAGTCTCCACTTTGTTGGATGACACTGGATTATTAGACACCCATTTGGCTCTGTCTTGTAGTCTACGATGGTCTTTTAGAGTTAAAAGCACTGCAGAGTCAGGAGAGCTAGGTCTGGTCCCAGTAGCCTCCTCATGGGTCTCTGTACTTCCTGTCTCACCCTTCTCATGGAATCACAGTCAAGATCACAGATTTGGAGCTCAAAGATGCCTTAGAGTTATTAACATGCTGACTGCAAACCTTGATATTTTTTGGATAATTTTATTTCGATATAATTGGTTTTCTTTATAATCTAATATATTTTATTTTATGCATTTACAAATATTATTCTGGTAAAGAGTGACTAGGGCTTCACTAGATTGCTAAAAGGGTTCAGGACACAAAGAGGACTAAGAACCCCAGATGTATTCCAACTCTTGATCTTCGTTACAGATAAGGAAAGTGAAGCCCCAGGAGTTGACATGACTCACTCAAAGGTTACGCATGTAGGAAGATAAAGAACAAAGATTAAAAACCAGGTTATCTAGCTCCATTGCCAGAGCACTTTCTATTGGACCACACAGAGGACTGACTTCTAAATAACTGCTAAATTGACATTCATTACCCACAGTTTGATGATCTCCTTTCCCTACTCAATAAATTTCATTGGCTCCCTAGGAAATACAAACACAAGGTCCTCATTCTAGTAGTTAAAATCCTTCACAAGCTAGATCCATTTTATCTTTCTAGAAGTCTCACATTTGTCATCATGCATTCTCTACTCCAGCCAAACTGGCTCACTTGCCCCATACACATGACATTCTATCTCTTTCCTGTATAAATTTGCACAGGCTTAGAATACCTGCACTTCCTGGTACTTAGAAAAACTAGCAGCCACAATCTTCACAGTTGTTTTTAACCTCTATTAACTCATCAGTAGAATGTAATCTCCTTGAGGGCAGCGACTGTTTGTTTGTTTGTCTTTGTATGCCCAGCACCCAGCACAACACCTTGCTCATAGTACTGACTTCAAAATGCTTCATGAATTGAAGAGAATTTATCTTCTCTGAGTCTTAGGTTTCTGACCTATCAGATGGAAGGTTTGGACTCTAAGGTCCCTTGGAGTCCTAAGAGTCTGATTCTATAAATAGAATGCTTCTAATACACGCTAGAAGTGACAGCTGGGAGGGCAGCCACCAGGGTCAGCACTCATACAACCACGATTTTTGCCAGGCTATGTGCAATTAGCCTCCTTTTTGAAAGAGCTATAGGGTAACCACTAATTTTGAAACCCTTTTACTCACTTTTTTGATTCTGCTGCCTATGCAGTTAAAGCTTAAATTATTCTTTAGCAAGTGTGAAAAAGACAGGAAACTTGGCAAATGGATAGAGCAATAAGCATGTAGTCAGGAATCCCTGGATTTACACACCATCTAAGTCACTTATAAATGTAGCTATGCAACTACAGGCCAATCAGGTCATCTCTGAACTTGAGGGAACTTTCTAAGACTTAGTTACTAGGATGTAAGCTAGTGGAAAACATATAAATGAACAATGTCCATGGAAATGTTATCAGGTATTCTTATAACTGAGGATCATGGGATAGGTCTAGACCTGGAAGGGACATTAGAGGTCAACTGGTTCAACTATCTCATTCTATCATGGTGAGCGTGGCCAGCTACTAAGTAAGAAAATAGTAGAGTTAGTTCATTCAAGGATCAAATTTAAACTAAGGTAACTAAGATCAAGGGCAGCTAGGTGGGGCAGTAGATAGGGTGCTGGGCTTAGAGTCTGGAAGACTCACCTTGCTGAGTTCCAATTTGGCCTAAGACACCAACTAGCTATGTGACCCTGTGTGATTCATTTAACCCTGTTTGCATCAGTTTCTTCATTTGTAAAATGAGCTAGATAAGGAAAACTGCAAACCATTTCAGTCTCTCGGCCATGAAAATCCCAAGTGCGGTCATGAAGAATCAGACACGACTGAAAAATGACTAAATAACTAAGATTAAAAACTAGCATGACTTTGCTACCACCTTTGAAAATTAAGTTCACATATACCTTCTTTTTGGAGGTGGTCACGAGGAATTGGGAGACCCAGATTTATAATTTCTTTGGTGTCAGGTACTTCCTTTACCAATATAGATTGCCAAAGGCTATGCAATTTAGAGTTTAGAGCAAAGGTGTCAAACACAAGATCATAACACTTCTGAGTGGGGCCTGAACTAGATGATAATG